GTCTCCCTTGCATTCGAGGGTGCGGCGGCGGAGCCACCCCTCTTTGTTAGCACCTCGGGCGCGGCGGCAAATCTGCTCGCCCCTATCAGCTCATGGGGCGTGGTAGTGGAGCCACCCCCTCCACCGGCACCCTGGGCGCGGCGACGGATCCATTTGCTCCCATCAGTCCTAAGGACGGGCCAATGGTTTGGCCCATCTCCGCCGGCCTCACGGACTCACTTCCCCCCACATGGAATGGGAAGGGTCCCTACATGGACGAGTGGGTACCTGTAAGAGTATCCTCACCATCTAGGTCATCCCACTCCACATCGACAACTACCTCGTCGTCATCGTCGTCGTTGTCTTCGCTGTCTATCTCCTCTCCTCGCTCCCGTGCCTGCTGTTTCTTCTTTCGCTTGAACTCCTTCGTCTTCCTCTTCCACTCGGCCGCGGTGCGATTCGCCGCCGCCATGAGTGGGTCCTTCGACAGCGGAGCCGGGCTATCCGTGAAGACGAGTCTCTTCAGCTGGTCCCGCTATCCTGAGGTCAGCATCAAGGGGTCAGGAATTCAAGCAAAAAGGAAGCACGGGAAAAGAGAACTTACGAAGTCGATGAACCCTGGTTCCGACCGCATTAGGGGATGCCCCCGCACTGGATACACAAAATCAAGGATGACGCCGACGTTGTCCTTCGAAGGCTCCATCGCCTCCTTGATATGCTGCGCCACTTTGGAGGGGGGAGCGCTTTGTCGACAAGCGCTGTCCCTTCGAGCGACGCTTTGGGCACCATCAGGTACAGGGGAAGCACGTGGCTCATCAGCGGCGCCACCCTCCACGTATGGTAGGCGCCGATGATCCCCGATCCCTTCATTCCCTTCTCCTTCAGAATCCGAATGGCGGCGAGGTGGTCCTAGATTTTCTTCTTGTCTTTATCCGGGACACCCCACTTCCATGGCTCTGGGACCTCTTCGATAATGCACCCGGAGAACGATGGCAAGGGGGCAACAGCGTCATCCTTGACGTAAAACCATTGCAAATGCCACCCCTTGTTGGAGGTTGACAGACACATCGATGGGTATTCGTTTACCCGGTTGTTGCGGAGATGAATGCCGGCACATCCCATCGGCAAGCTCAGTTCTTGCCTCTTCTCCTGCTTCTTCAAGAGGTTGACGGCAAAGAAATACCGCCACAGGTCGAAGTGGGGACTAATCCCTAAGAAACCCTCACACAGGGTGATGAACGCCGCAATGTGCTGGACCCCATTGGGAGTGAGGTGCTGCAGCTCCACCTTGTAGTAATGCAACAGCCCCCGAAGGAACTTGTGGGCGGGGATGGCGAACCCCCGCTCGTGAAAGCGAGCAAAGGACACCACGTAGCCTTCGGGCGACGATGGCTTGTCCTCATTACCGGGCAGTCGTCCCTTCTCGGCGTTGGTCAGTGGGCAAAGGAGGCCACGGTGAACGAGGCCCTCCAGGCGCTGAGGGTGATGTCGAATTTGCACCATGGCTCCATTGAACGATTGGGAGGGGGGTGGACGCGAGCGTGACGGCGGCTGTGATGCGGGTATGGGAGGCTTAGGCGATTGGCGGCGGAGGTTGTAGATGCAAAGGCGAGGAGGCCAAGTACGGAACCCTGGGGGTGAACCCCTTGGTTTTATAGGGACGACGGATGCGAGAAGGGCAACCGTCCTCCTAGCTCTTCGTGCCTGCCACGATACACCACCATGCCATGCCGCGGGATATGCGCCCGCAATCTCTATCCTTTTCCACCAAAGTCACACCGGACGTTTCGCCTTCGCGGGTAGACTAGGACTCTTTTCCCGTAGAAGGGATACGGGTCGAGAAGCATTTCTCCGGCCCGCCCGGGCCCAGAAGTTCAAGGGCTGGCCCAATAGTTTCGGCGGCTGTCCCAACGAGGGATGGGCCCACGAGCGGCCAAAACTCAGGTGCACGAGCCTCAAGGGAGTCTCGATCCACGATCGAGTCTCAACCAAGCTAAACCTGGAAGAATCCCCACGAACGGGACACCATGGTTCCCTTTAAGCTATCCAGTTGTCGAAACACCAAATTTCGCAGCCATACCCACGAAGGGTTCGAATTACCCCCCAGGCGATTCTATCCGAATCACCCGGGGGCTCTGGGGCTACACCCATCGGGTGCGCTCGCGCGCACCCTCTGGCAAGTGAAATCACCCCGGGTGATTCTATCCGAATTGCCCGGGGCTCAGGGGCTACTGTTGGGGATCGATTACTGGGGTACCCAAAGAGGTGGAACTAATAACCATTAAACGTTGATGCTTCCGAACAGGCGGGAATGCAACTACACTCCTTGTCCATACAACCGAAGGTTGGCTGCGCCTCGCCCTACCCCAAAGGGTTGGCTCCGCCTCGCCCGACCCCCGAGGGCTAGGCTCCGCCTCGCCCGACCCCCGAGGGCTGGGCTCCACCTCGCCCGACGAATGAGGGCAGTCTCCGCCTGGCCTGATGTCTGAGGGCTAGCACCGCCTCGCCCGACGTCTGAGGGCTGGCTCTGCCTCGCCCGATGGCTGAGGGCTGGCTCCGCCTCGCCCGACATCTACACTGTGCCCCTTCATAATGACGAGCACAGGGTAAGACATGACAGTCAGGTCAACCGCAGTACCAAGGACCATGCCCTGCGCACCTGCGAGAAGGTACTGTCAGGATACGACGGGACAGACGCTTTAAGCCCTTCCAGGCATGGCAGAGCCCAAATAGTGTTATAGGCGCCGACTTTTGTCCTACAGTGTTGTGGGCGCCGCCATCAGCCCTTGGGCGCGGATCCTAACATAGGCATACGACAACCACTACAGTCCAGGAGGGAACTCACATAATCAACAGTAACGAACGTATGGTCACTTCCCCGTCTGCTCCCCATAGGGTCACAGCTTGGTACCTCGACGCGCCGCATCGTCCGCGGGAGTAGGATGGGACGCGACCACTAGCTGACCGAAGCCAGAGCACGGCCCTATCAGGATCAACAAACATGCTATCCCTGGCATCGTCTGCCATGTCAGCAGGGCAGGCTCAAGGGAAAAGGAAGACCCAGCACCTTCGAAGGACCTTCTCTACCTCTGTTTTTTTCCTCTTTCTCCCATCTGTAATCCCTGCTCCCCCTTGGTCTATAAAAGGGAGTGCAGGGCGCCCCACTAAGGAGACAGATCAATTTCACAGACAATACATCACGCAACACACATCCAAGTAGCAACCGAGCTCTTGGCATCCTTTCGACCCTTCCATCAGAGACTTGGGACCTGTCCCTCTCTCGACCGTTTGTACCCCCTACTACGAACCTTTTCCGGTGCTAATAACACGAGCAGCAGCAAACTGGACGTAGGGACATTCTGCCCAAACTAGTATAAACCTTGTGTCCTTTAGTACACCATCCGAGCCTAACACGCAACAAATATAAATTTACTAGTTGGTGTTTATTCAAAACAACGACACTCTTCTACTTGAAGATCACGGTGACATGGCTGGCCCAGGTCGAGATGGTCCACCTGGGCATCGCTCATCAGGTGGGGTTTGGCGCTCCAGCAGCTATATGAGACGATGGCGAGCAGGCATGCTTTTGAATAGGTAGGGACATTTTAGTCTTTTCGCATGCCTTACCGAGGGCATGTGGCCATTTTTACGCTGACCGTCCAACTTGCTACGCAACATCAATGAAAATGGCAAAAATTTAGTGTATCTTCTTTCTCTAGTGGCAAGAATGCAAATTTCTGTGTAATAATGGTAACTGAAAAGTTGGTATCACAAGAGTGGCAAATAGTTAAGGGCTTCTCCAGAAGCACTTGTTTTTTGCTGCGCTGCTGGCTGGTACTGCAAAAACTAACAAGAAAATACCGTAGCCCACGCCCGCTGCAGATAAGTACAACCCAAGGGACCCCAAATACCTCTTGAGCTCGTGTTGTCTACCCGCTTTGAGAAAAGTTATTATAACTTATTGACATACTGGTACTAAGGGCGCTTAGGCTGTCTCCAACAACCGTTACCCAAAATATAAGACTTATTTCAAGTTTGAGTAGCACTACAGGCAAAGGATTCAATACTCATTTTTGGTCTTTTTCAACAACAAGACCCAAAAGAGAACCTTTTCTGTAAATGGTTCTTAAGGAGAGAGGATACTCAGATTTGGGTCATACCTCTCGTGACATCCAAAATAGGTATTCCATATAGGTACTCTGTTGGAGACCTATTTTGTGTTTAGGTCTCCTGATGGGTCTCCTATTGGAGACAACCTTACAGTGTAGAAGCCATCTTAGTTTCTATGCGTATTAATTACCCTGCTACGTAAGTATTTTGTTGATGTGGGAAATGATTTAATAATGGGAGAGAGGAGAAGATGGTTTCTTAATAAAAAAAACTATATCTACACAGGAATTAAGACATAAAGAGATGCGATAGATAAGTGAGGAAGAACATGTAATTGGATAAAAGATTATTACATAGAAACTATTCGTTGAGAATATAATTTCTACTTATAGTGTCTACTAAAAATAAATAGACATTAATTATTTTGTTCGCTCGAACTTATGAGCCTAGCTTATCAGTTATGGTATAATGTTTTTCTGTCGTAACAAAACACATCAACTGGATTATCAGCCATAAGAACTATGAGCGGAATAGCTCGATTGAAATTACTGCACCAAGTACTGGCTACCGGCCGATTTGAGCTGAAAGCCTGATTCTGGTGACCTGAGAAAAGGATTAGAGGAAACCGTAGTTCAGTGCTACCGGAGTTGCTTGAGTGCTAGACGGGCCGCTAGTCGTTGGCCCATCGAACCCACTTGGCCACTTCCACCTGAACTTTTGCCCTGCCTTCTCTCGACGACTCCGCAGTCCCCTCACGGCCGCCCACATCCCGCAGACAGCCGCCGCCGCCGGCGCAAATTCCCCTTCCGCGTCTGCCTGGCCGCTGGGGTTTCTAGGCTAGCGCGTGCCGTCCTCTCCCCTCGCCCTCCACCACCATGTCCGAGGAGGCCCAGGATCCGCTATCCGCCACCATGGCGAAGGAGGCCGAGTCGCCGCCGTCCGCCACCGTAGCGGAGGCGACGGCGCCGCCGCAGCTCGTATTATTCAACTCCCTGACGAAGAGGGAGGAGCCCTTCCAGCCCCGAGTGGAGGGGAAGGTGGGGATGTACGTCTGTGGCGTCACTCCCTACGACTTTAGCCACATCGGCCACGCGCGTGCCTACGTCGCCTTCGACGTCCTCTACAGGTAGCAATCCCAGCACCCTCGGATCCGGAGGCCCTTTGTCTTGATTGCTCAATTAGTGCTCTCGATTAGGAAATATATTGTCTAGTAGCGTTGTCTCAGTGTATTGTTGTAGTAGTAGGTTTGTGTGTTTAGTCATGCTCGGGTTTGGATGTTCAACATAGCTGGATCCAGGCTATGTCTAAACTGTATTAGTTGCTAGTTGCCTCTGGAATCTACATCTAGATACATGTTTGATGGACTAATTATTGCTGTGACTGATTAAGCATTTGAATTCTGGCCATGCTGTATTTCTCATTGTCATGAATTATTTTTATGTATTTCCTCTGTCCCAAATTATTTTTATGTATTCCCTCTGTCCCAAAATAAATCAACTTCTAGAGCTGTTTTATGTCAAACTATTTTAAGTTCGATCCACTGTATAAAGAATAGTACCAACATCTATGACACCAAATAAGTAAAAATATATCTTCATGCTGTATTCAATGATGCTAATTTGGTGTAAAAAATATTAGCGATCTTTTATATAAATCGGTCAAACTTAAGATAGTTTGACTTAGGATGATTCTGGAAGTTGATTTGTTTTGGGATAGAGGGAGTACATCAGTGTTTTCAAGGCGTCGCCTAGGCTAGGCGTCCAGGCATACCCAGCTCGCCTTGGGAAACAGTGGCGCCTTGTGGCCTAGGCGTCGCCTAGGCGTCCAGGCGTACCAAGCACTCGCCTGGATGCCTAACCGCCTTTAAAACTATGGAGTACATGCAACATACCAATATGTGATTCTTTGTAACTTGGAACACTTTGAGCAAGCTAACCTTAGTGTATTAGTACTACAGTCATGTGTTGCTGTTTTGAATTAAACCTACAATGGTCTGTATACATTACATTAATATTTCAATACATTTGTCAAAAGACTAGCTGAGTTAAAGCATAATATTGAGTCATGTTGCTATCTGTGCTTCTTAAGTTTTGATAACATATTTATTCTATAATAAAACTGGTCTCACATTCCTTGTAGGTACCTTAAATTCTTGGGGTATGAAGTTGAATATGTCCGTAATTTCACGGATATCGATGACAAGGTAACAATTTGTTCGCACTATTCTAGAGTTACATTTTAGTAGTTGAGAAGGAAGGAGAACTTCTTGAGGTATCAAAATGGAAGGAGCACGATCTTATTTGTGACAGTGTCATCTGTGGACTAATTTGTTTCTGGGTTCAACTAATCTTGCGCTTCCTCTTAGCCGGAGTGTCACCAGTGCCATTTCATCCCAACATCTGTTCTTTTTTGTTGGCATTGTTCATAGATCAGACAACAGGATTTACAAAATAGTTTAATTTTTCCAGTGTGTTGCATGTTTAATATAAATTTTTCTTTTTCTTTCCCAATACCTTTTGTCAGAAATTCGGATAAAATATTTCCTTGCCTTTTTTTTACAGATTATTAAGCGTGCAAATGAACGCGGTGAAACAGTTACAAGTTTGAGTAGCCGGTTTATCAATGAATTTCTTCTTGATATGACTGAGCTCCAGTGCTTGCCTCCTACCTGCGAGCCACGGGTAACAGAGCACATTGAGCATATTATAGAGTTGATAACAAAGGTACAGTATTGCTACAAATCAAACTGATGTAAATGTGTGTTTACTTATTGCTTTCATGATACTTTGCAGCTGTTGTCAGGGGATGAGCTTAGTTAGGGCCATCAGTGGCTATGTCCCACCCTTGAAATTTTGCTATGAACACAATAGGTTTCTGTCTAATAGCCAGTTGTGGTTGAAATTCTTTAGTAATTTTCCTGGTGCCCCCTGGCTTTGATTGGAAGCTCCACCACTCTGGCTACTGTAAACAAAATCAACACTGATGATTACATTATTTGCCACCATACAAATTAAACCCATTCTTTCACTCATTATATCTGGTTCCATGATATTCAACAGTCATGCATAACTTAGTGTATATAATCCTGATGGTACAAAAAATGCCCCTTTACTCTCTTCTTATGTCACATGTCTTTCCCATGTTGTCTATGTTTCTGGACAGATAATGGAGAATGGGAAAGCCTATGCTATGGAAGGAGATGTGTACTTTTCAGTCGACAGCTTTCCTGAATATCTCAGTTTATCTGGAAGGAAATTTGATCAAAATCAGGCAGGTGCACGGGTTGCTTTTGATACGAGAAAGCGTAATCCTGCAGACTTTGCACTCTGGAAGGTAAGATTGAAGTACTGATGTTGCTAGGGTTGATTTCACAAAACTACAACTACTGGGTCTAACTATGAGGAAACTACAACTTCTGGTATCAGTTTCACAGAACTGCAACTACTCGTCCACATCCAAGTCCACATGTGTTGGGTCCATGCAAAATGTTGTAGATCTGTTAATTGAGGCTGCAGTAGTTATAGTTTTGTGAAACAAATCCTAAAACCTGCATTTCCTTGATTAGGCACAAATAGCTGTAGTTTTGTGAAATAAACTCATATCTAGCTTAGTGTTGTCACTTTCTTCTAATTCTTCAATAATCATTGTTTCAGGCTGCAAAGGAGGGTGAGCCTTTTTGGGATAGCCCTTGGGGCCGTGGAAGACCAGGATGGCACATTGAATGCAGTGCAATGAGTGCTCACTATTTAGGACGTGTATTTGATATTCATGGTGGGGGGAAAGATTTGATTTTTCCTCATCATGAGAATGAGCTTGCCCAAAGCCGAGCGGCTTATCCTGTGAGCGAGGTCAAGTGCTGGATGCACAACGGCTTCGTTAACAAAGATGATAAAAAAATGGCAAAATCAGATAATAACTTTTTCACGATTAGAGATGTAAGTGGTGAACACATGGCTCCTTTTAGTTTAGTCATTGTGATTAGTTTTAACCTTTAGGTTTCCCTTCAGATCTCCTACTGTTGCTTTCTTTAGTACTTTAATTGAGTTTGAACTTTAAGGTTCCTGTTGAGATCAATAACAGTTGTTTTTGTTCAGATCATTGCTCTTTACCATCCAATGGCTTTAAGATTTTTCTTGATGCGCACGCATTATAGATCAGATGTGAACCACTCTGATCAAGCACTTGAGATTGCATCTGATCGTGTCTACTACATTTATCAGGTACTTGACTTACTTTAGCTTCAAATTTTAGTCATTTTGTGACTTATTGGATTTAGGTTTGAGCATTAATTATCCTTGTCCTAATTCACTCCATTGTTTTCTTTGTAGACTCTATATGACTGTGAGGAAGTGCTAGCTACATATCGTGAAGAGGGTATTGCTGTCCCAGTGCCATCTGAGGAGCAAAATCTGATTGATAAGCATCATTCAGAATTCTTGAAATATATGTCGAATGATCTTAAAACCACAGATGTTCTGGATCGTTGCTTCATGGAGCTGCTGAAGACCATAAACAGCAGTCTGAATGATTTGAAGGTATTCTGGTCTCTTGTGCTTCCAAGTTCCAAGGTTATATTGTTTTGAAATTGTCTGTGGCACTATTATTTTTTCCTTGCCCATAACACCATTTCTACTTTCAGAAACTGCAGCAAAAAATAGAACAGCAAAAGAAGAAACAGCAACAGCAGAAGAAGCAGCAACAGAAGCAACAGCAGTTGCAAAAACAGCCAGAAGATTATATTCAAGCGCTGATTGCATTGGAAACAGAACTTAAAAATAAACTGTCTATACTTGGTCTGATGCCATCATCATCTTTGGCAGAGGTACTGAAGCCAATGTGCCTGTCTAGAAATAAAATAATTCCGGTGTCTAGAAATGTATTTCTGTTTATGATGGCCACCTACATATTTAACGAGTAAATTGTTGGTCCAATAGGTACTGAAGCAATTGAAGGACAAAGCATTAAAGCGAGCGGGACTGACTGAAGAAAAATTGCAAGAGCAGATTGAGCAGAGAAATGTCGCAAGGAAGAATAAGCAGTTTGAGGTATCTGATGGAATCAGGAAAAACCTTGCTACCAAGGGCATCGCCCTAATGGACGAACCTTCTGGTACAGTGTGGAGACCATGCGAACCAGAGTGGTCTGAATAATCATGATTATATGCTCATTGACTCAACTAGTGGTGGTGTAAAATGAGATGTGGTATTCTGCAGGGTAGGGGTTCCATTGACTCACTAGTTGAAACTTGCATTTCTGGTTGTGTAAGAAGCAATAGACCCCATATATATACTTGACTTCTTGGGAGGTTTGAGTTTTAGTTTTGGATATGAGACTTGGCAATTCCATTTCAATGAACAGATGAAATTTTACTTTGTACTATTTTTGCTTGTGTTGGTGGTTGTGCACCGGTGCTGTGTTTGAGATGATGAAGTCAGTGCTTTGTTTAAGGTAATGAAAACTGATCTGGCAGAATTTGGTTAGCCTCCTCGGGTCATGAAGATGTTGGCCCCGTTCGCTGGTCTGAACTTTGGCTGAAACTGGCTGAATTGTTGTGAGAGAAAAACACTGTTTTGGCTGAAAAAATAAGCCGAACAAGTCAAATTTAAGACAAGCGAACGAAGCGGTCATCTTTTGGATGTTGAAACTAACTTGCATAAACATGTAGTTATTAGACACTAAACACGACCACTAATTACACGTAAAGTAAAAACTAAAGAAAATTGGTCTGACTATAGCTGTTAGACGTTTGATGTGCCTCTGATGTTGACATCCTTCAACCAGCAGCGGCTGGGGCTGAAACGATCGTATACAATCGTGGATTATTACTGTTGGCTGGTTTGGTGTGAGAGAAAAATACTGTTATGGTTGAAAATTTACGATCGTTTATAACCAAGCGAACGGGCTGCAGATCTTTGATTATGAGAAAAAAAACATGGGATTTATGAAACGGATAAGCCAAACATCATAGGCTCAAAATCATATCACAATAGAGCATAAGTAGATACGCAACCGGGATCCCGAGTCTTGATGTAGTGGAGGTGTGGATGGTATCTCTCGAGGATCACCTTGGTTTGCTTAAATCGGGTCGGTTGGTATCTCCCGGGATCATCGAGGTTTGATTTGCATAAATCGGGTCGGTTAAGTGGATGACGCTCGATTTAGGTAAATATCACAGCGAATTCCTACTTGGTGCGTCAAATCCTAGCCGCCTGCGTGGGAGGAACCGAGAGGGCGTGGGAGGAGGCGGTGTGACCCTGTCGAACCGAGAGTGGATACAAAGTTCCTCTCGACCTTGGAAACTTACGAATTGAAGAGGATATTTGAATACTTCTTATTTTTAAGAAGCTCTTTTACTGAACTATTGGATGGCACTTTTTTATTTTGTTGCTAAAAAATAAAAATAAGGAGTTACTTTACAAAACTTCTAAAGATGCTCTTATGGTTTATATTACTCCTTTCATTTCAAATTATAAGTTATCTTGGCTTTTCTAACTACTTTGTATCTAGACATATCGTAGTATATAGATGCATAAGAAAAACAAAAAACCAAAGTAACTTATAATTTAGAACAAAGAGAGTAAAGCTTTGTTTGGATGTTGGTATTGAGGTGAAGGAATTGCATTGGGGTAGGAATACCAAATCCTAGTGGAAATGGAAATGGCCTGCAATGCCAATGTTGTTGTTTGGATGTGTATGTCATTGGTAGTTAGAATCAAAGGGTAGCAGCCAATTTCAATTTTTGTTTGGATGTACAAACTGTTGAAATGTTTTGAAGAGTCTAGACAGTATACAACATTTTACATGTATGAGAATGTAGTCTCCATAAATTGTGGATATATTGGAAGTATTATATATCACTTTTCACATATAAAATCAGGAAAACTTTATTAAACATGATCAAAATAGCTGGAGAGGTATGAAAAAGTGAAAAAAAGAAAGTACATGAACATAGCAGCCATTATATAGCAAATAACATGAGATCAGTAGCTTCCAAGTACCCATAGAAGATTACAACATACTAAATAGGTCGGCAATCAGACAAGACATGTTTTTGCCTATCATAAGTTCATAACATAAGCTCCTAATTAGGATAACATGTTCTTAAGCATTACATGACAACAAGTTGACATGAAGTCCCTCAATTGCCATCCTTCTCATTCAACATCAAGAGCCATTCTTTCCTCATGGCCATGGGAAGCTCCATAAGTGCTTGGAATAAGCGCTCATTAAGGATTAGCTTCCCATAAGATTTCAGCATGTCACACCTAGCAAAATCTGGTATCATTTGAGGTGCAGCAAAGATTTCAGCAGTAGGGGTGACATGGGGCAGCGATAATGGCTCAGTTGACTTCAAAGCATCTTTGAATGAGGTCTTCATATCTCCAAGCATGTAGAGAATTGCATCACCAGTTCGCTGCCTCTTTTGGGGCAACTCCAGGGATGCATCATCAGCTTGTTCAAGTGAATCTTGAGCACTTTCAGCACCAGTCTTGGCTCCTTCCCCATTGGCATGATCAGATGAGTAAATAGTGCTGAGTGCATCCCAATTCTTCACTACTTTGGTCTTGTAACAAGCTGATGCCTTGTTACTCTGCATAACAGGTACATGTTACTACAAAAGTGAGACAGAAGTGTTACAAAAAACAAAATATGTGTTAAGTAGTTAGCATTTTTCATAAATTTTGTGTAACTATAGAGACACTGGACAATGGACTGGTCACAACTCACAAGCATCTAAAGACCATCTATATACAGGTACTAGAACTACAGCAAACCAGGAAATAAAAACAGACAAGAAAGTATCCTTACCTCCACATATCTATTCCACACATCTTCACTATCAATTGATAGCTTATTATTCTCCCAATCCCAACCAAATCCACTCTGAGAAAGTATCTTGCTAATGATCTCATAATGCTTGTCAAAAGTCTTGCACCTTGCTATTATATTGTCCTTTGTGATCTCCACATTGCACCTCTCACGTACATTCTTTATAGCAGCATTGTAGACATGTGGCTTCCATCCATTTTGGGCATGATCACCATTGTTGTGATGCTCAACAAGGACAACCAACAATGAATTGTCCATCCCATCTGTCCAAGTGAGGTAAACCCTTTTCCTTTTGCTGCAGGCATGGTGCTATCCACAAAATACCACAGAAGTTAGAGTAAGGTAATATCATATAATACCACAGATGATGCATGTACACCACAAAAGATAGATATTCTTTCACACAAAAGATGACCCACACGGCCTACTCCATCTCAGCATCACCATGCCGCACAAGGTACTCAGCAAACATGTCATTAGCTAGCTACTCCCTAAAGGCGATCCATTCATTAGTCACTTGAACATTTCTAATTAAGTTAGCATCATCTACAAGCTCATTTGGCATAGCTGCTACTTCAGCGTCCACTGCTTGCAATAATAAATCATTCATCACATGTTGTCTGTCCCTTGCAAAGTTGTGTAACACACAACAAGCATTAATAATTCAAATCTGCAATAATGTTAGTTAGTAGTCAAAAATTGCCATTCAAATTTCTATTATGTCAAAGAAACTTTCTGTGTACTGCTGAAACTTACAATTGTTACCTGATCTTTTATGTCAAAGAAACTTTGTGTGCGTAGGATAGCCCATTTTTTCTTCCATAAACCAAAAGTTATCTCTACAACATTTCTAGCACGAGAATGATGCAAGTTATACAACTCTTTGGGAGTTTTCGGCTGTTGTTGACTTGAAACCCACTCTTTCAAATGGTACTGAGTGGATCTGAATGGATCAAGGTGTTGTTGTGAGGAATAAGGCAAGACTAGTTGCAAAGGGGTTCTCTCAAGTTGAAGATTTGGATTTTGGAGAAACCTTTGCATCGGTTGCAAGGCTAGAAACCATTCGTATCCTCCTTGCATATGCATCGCATTATGAAATGAAATTATATCAAATGGATGTGAAAAGTGTATTTTTAAATGGCTTTATTAATGAACTAGTTTATGTTGATCAACCTCCCGGGTTTGAAGACCCTAGATATCCTAATCATGTTTATAGGTTGTCCAAGGCATTATATGGGCTTAAGCAAGCCCCAAGAGCTTGGTATGAGCGTCTTCGGGACTTCCTCATTGAGAAGGGCTTCACCATTGGGAAGGTCGACACCACACTATTCACCAAGAAGCTTGATGGGCATATCTTCATTTGTCAAGTGTATGTTGATGATATCATCTTTGGATCATCAAATGAAGACTCTTGCAAAGAATTTGGTGAATTGATATTGAAGGAGTTTGAGATGTCCATGATTGGTGAGCTTACATTCTTTCTTGGTTTTCAAGTCAAGCAAATAAAAGAAGGGATCTTCATCTCTCAAGAGAAATATACAAAGGATCTTCTCAAAAGATTCAAGATGGATGAATGTAAGACAATCAAGACACCAATGCCAACCAATGGACATCTCGACCTAGATGAGGGAGGTAACAAGGTTGATCAAACTCTCTACCGTTCTATGATTGGTAGCTTGTTGTATTTAACCGCATCTAGGCCCGACATCATGTTTAGTGTGTGTATGTGTGCTAGATTTCAAGCTAATCCTAAGGAAACTCATTTAATTGCCGTAAAAAGAATCCTTAGGTATCTTAAGCACACACCAAGCATTGGCCTTTGATATCCCAAAGGAGCTAGATTTGAATTAATTGGCTATTCTGATTCAGATTATGCCGGTTGCAAAGTTGATAGAAAAAGCACATCCGAAGGGTGCCATTTGCTTGGTATATCACTTGTGTCTTGGTCCTCCAAGAAACAAAATAGTGTGACTTTGTCCACCGCCGAAGCGGAATACATTGCCGCGGATGCTTGTTGTGCACAAATACTTTACATGAAACAAACTTTGCTAGACTATGGTGTAGTTCTAGAAAAAGTACCTCTTTTGTGCGATAATGAAAGTGCAGTAAAACTTGCAAATAATCCGGTTCAACACTCACGCACCAAGCACATAGATATCCGTCATCACTTTCTTAGAGATCATGTTGCTAAAAATGATATATCACTAGAAGGTGTAAGGACCGAGGATCAATTGGCAGATATCTTCACTAAGCCGCTAGATGAGGCAATGTTTTGTCGTTTGCGGAATGAGCTCAATGTGCTTGATTTTAGTAACTTCAT